TTTTTTTTTTTTTTTTTTTTTTCAAATAAAAAATTCCGTATATATTCTTACAATCTGGTGGTTGACTAAATAATACAACATTTATCCCCACTAACTATCATCGTGCATGACCTCCCATAGCTAAAACAAATCCTTGGACGATACTTTAAGTACTTATTCTACATGAAGTATATACTTGAGTGGTAAGCTAAGATATTTCTTGATTTAAATGATGTCAAGGTTTACACTTCCAATATATGCTAATGAGTTTGACGTCTATTAAGGCTTAATATTTAAGTTTACAAAATTCAACTGGTTCACATAAACAGTATTTAAAAAGCATTATTATTTTACTCATCGTTTACATCAAAATTATTTTAGATTTGTTTTCTCATAATGGCCAGCATTTAGTATCACTAGTTACTACAACAACGTTCAAATACCTTAATAGTAGTCACACTCATTAACATATTAGTAGTAAGAACCTTCATAGGTTAAAGACCCATCACTCAAATCAAGAAATATTTTACCAATCATCTAATTACTTCATGTACCATCGTGCTCTCCTAACTAGCCGCGTGCACCATAAATAGATTTGCGCACTCTAAGCACTGACCATTGCTTAATTGGCCCAACATGTTGGAGCGTTTGAACACTATGTTGCGCGTTGTTGGGACTGGTTGGACGTTGTTCGATGTTGTTGAGTGAAGTTTGAAGCTCGTCAAACTTTTGAGCCAACAAGTCACACATTTTGGTTTTTGCTTCGTGGTCATCGAAGCTTAGCCCAACAATGTTGCGTTCGTTTGGACAGCAAGTCCAAACAAAGTCGCTCTGACGCACGCGCACTGCACGCCGTATCCATGGAGATTTCAATCAAACAACCAAACAAACGCAATTTAAAGAGGTTGAAATGGGAAAGGCTGGGTAATAGGATGAATGTTAAAGAAATTATTTGTAAGTCATTCTTAACATTTATAAACCCTGAAGTGTATTCAGTGATCACAAGTCTAAAATTCAAACTCAAACTATTTCCACGGTTAATCGTTCTCTTCCTTGCCACCAGGGTTTTCCATAGGGATCTCCAGTTATCCTTCTTTTGTAAAAACGAACATATATATGAGTTTAATGTTGTGCGTTGTAAATAGTAAATGTAGTGCAGGTATTTCGTGTGGAGGGAACCTCACGGAAGAGCCCTTGCAAATGTTAGCTGTATATGGAAATATGGCTAGTTTGGTTGGTTGGTTGGTTGACCATATCTAATGACAACATTTCTTGTATTTTACTTACATTAAGCTTACAGATTGAAGTCCATTCAAGCTATAAAAATCGGCGTTGTGTATTAGGTTGTTTCCTACATGCCTTAAAATTAGAGATAAACTAAGTTAAGGTGGCTGAACACTGCGATGAAAAATGCGCATCAATTGTTTACCCCGTCTTATGCATTATACGTTTTCACAAAACTGCATGAATCGATCATCTAGTATATAACTATGTGGTACGAAGCATTTTAGTGTTGAACGCTCTGCAAGGCTGAAATTGTTCTCTAAACGAAAACAAATATTTCATCACTATCACGTGTTATGACGTCCGATCTCATTAAAAACTGCATCAAACATTAATTCAATCTTTATGTGACTTATCTGCAAAAAAGATTTGCAATCGGATAAAACACGTTTATGCACCAGCGTTCCAAACGTGGAAGGTAGCGGTCAAGTGTGAGGGGGTCCAGTCACCTTAAGTTGTCTTGTGACTGCATTTTCTGTATGGTGTGTATATGTATTGTTATATTAAATATTTTGCGTTTAAGCGGTCAAGCTGTCAAACATGGCAAGTTCCGTGTATTCCTTATTTCTTACAGTGGGTACGACACTGATTTTTTTACTTTTTTTTGAGATTTTTTTAAATTCTGACACTTCTTTCTTTTTTTGTTCTAGCGGCTAAACAAAGGAAATAGACTATTTTTCAACTTACGGCCGTCTGATGCTCCTTTATTCTCTATTAATTTCCCTTGTTTTGACTACACATTTTCTGTCGTTGCTGTTGTTGTTGTTGTTATTTGTTTTGTGTTTTTTTTTTGTGTTTTTGTTTTTGTTTTGTTTTTGTTTTTTCCGCCAAAAAGCCATATCTGCGGCTTGAGGATGCTAGAGAGTTTAGAAATTGCATGAGGAGAATTTTTCAAGCTCAATATTTTTTAAGCAAAAAATCAAGAATAATGTTTACAACCCAAAGCGTCGACAAAGAAATACCTGCATAATTAGGTTGCTAAACGTGCCAATTAATTGATGCTCAAGTTAACTAAATTCGCTTCAAACCACTTGGTGATTTTACATAGTGAAATCCCTTTGACTATTAGATGCTTTGAATAATGTTTTTAGATTTATATACGTCTGATGAAGTCGGCTAGCCTGCGTGCAGCACGACTTCTAGATCACCAAAATCTTATCGAATCTAATCCAATTAATAGCCATAGTGAAGTTTAAGTAATATATTTTCTAAGTTCCGTCACTTGTTCCCTTACAACAATCTACAAAACACTGATAAACTTCGGGTACGCAGTTCGAGAATCAGTGAATGAGCTGAAATTGCGTGACACTTATATTTGTAGGCATTGCGTGATCCTGGATATGTTTTGGCTTAGTTATATTCATAGAATTATCAGAGTCTGCTGATATCGATAGTAAAACATTTTCTCGGTTACAGATTTTATCAATTTATACCTATACCGTGTCTTAATTATCAAGCTTTCCTCTTTTGAAAGGCAACTTGGTCATTTACAGCGAAAATCGTTGCATTGCGACCAGCCGTTTCGAAACCCTGATTGAATTAATGGTCTTTTCCGAGCCGTCAATCATTTTCGGTTTATGCAAATGATCTACGTGCACGATCGCTCACCTTTGGCCATCAACGCATGTTTTTTTTCGAAAATCTAAAATGACTTGCTAATAGTTCAAGGGATTGCGATAGAGAGTTGTTTTTCTAAGAATTCTTCCTTTGATTAAAGTCATTCGTGTTGCTCATCGTTATCAAACTCAGAATTGTTTGTGCTACAATATTTATCGATCATGAGCAAAATGTCCAACCGCTTTACACTGATGACATCATTGCAGATCTTGCGTGCTCTAGTGCAAACGTTGAGAAATTATTACTTGGACTGAATACTAATAAAGCTACTGGCCCTGATGGTGTAACAGCACGATTGCTTCGTAAGGCGGCTCCTTCAATTTCAACCTCACTTTCATGCCTGTTAAACATGTCTCTCAACAGAGGAAAGTTACCATGCGACTGGTAGCGTGCTAATATTACTCCAGTGTTTAAAAAAGGCGAGAAGGAACTTGTCACTAATTATCGACCAATTTCTCTCCCTTCTCTGGTTGTGAAGACCCTAGAAAAGCTTGTTGTTAACCACATCCTGTCGTATCTCGAGGATCACATTCTGCTTAGTCAACATCAATATGGGTTCCGAGTTGGCTTTTCAAGTACATCCCAACTTATTCACTTATTCCACACATGGGCGTCAGCTCTGGATAAGGGCAAAACATCAGATGTTGTCCTTTTGGATTTTGAGAAAGCTTTTGACTCTGTTCCGCATGTTCATCTCATCTCAAAGCTACAGCAGTCTGGGAATCGTGGTTAAATTATTGAATGGCCGAGTGACTTCTTACATGAACGATATCAACGTGTTGTATTAGAGGGTGAAAGTTCCAACTGGACTAAGGTTTCGTCTGAAGTGCGTCTGGAGTGCCTCAGGGAAGTATTGTCGGACCGATGCTGTTTTTGCTGTACGTGAATGATATACCAGAGAATCTAACATGAGCCAGTGAAATGTTTGCCGACGACACACTATTATTCAACTCTAGCAAATCATCTGATGTCTCCCAACCTATCCAAGAAAGTTTATCGCGTATCTCTGCTTGGTGCAACAAATGGCTTCTGAAAATTAATGCCGAGAAATGCGAATGTATGCGAATCACCAGAGCAAAAACACCAACATCTTGCTCCTACAACATAAACTCGACATCACTTAATCAAGTTCATACCCATAAACACCTTGGAGTCACACTATCATCTGATTTATCTTGGAAAACTCATGTACTAACAGTTGCTGCTAAATTGAGCAAAATTCTTGGTCTATTGAAGCGTACTTTTGGGAAATGTTCGGAGGCAATAATAACTGGTTAAAAATCTATGGTTCGTCCAATCATTGAGCATGCATGCCCTGTATGGAATCCACACCAACAATGCCTATCTGATAAACTTAAAAGAATTCAAAGGAATGTCTCAAGATGGATTTTAGGCAGTTCCATTGAGTACAATGAACGTTTGAAATACCTAGAATGGCCAAGTCTTCACTCTCGTCGTGACTTTCTTAGCTTAGTTCAATTATCTAAGTTTATAAATGGTTCTTCTAAAGACAAATTACAAGATTACTTAGTATTTTCTAAAGGTCGTACTTGGTTTACTCATGACCACAAAATTTGGACACCATATGCTCGAACTAACATCTACAAATTCTCCTTTTGGAATAGGTATATTAATACATGGAACGATATGCCAGAACATTTACTCATTTGCTCTACTGAATGCATTTATTTATTTATTTGCCACTCCAAGTCCCCAGTAAAGAAGTTTATGTTGAGTTTCTACGTCTTTCAACAATTAAATTACTTCAGCTGGCTGTTCCCGCTTCAATTTACCCGTACTTATTTTGCCACAAATCCCGAAAAATATAACTGATATTCGAACCTTTAGATATCAATATTGAATAAGAATTCACAGAAAAAAATTTAAAGCGCAAAAAACACTTAAATCAAGAAGAGTCTGTTGCTCCTTTGACGTCACAAGCCCTGTTTCCCTCGTCACTCGGTCATGTTTTGGGCATTGCACATTTAACCGCTCGAAAAAAAAATTAGAAAGAAGTGCCAAAATAAAAAAATTATTTCGACATCTCTCCTAGAATGACTTATATTTTGATATAGAAAAGTAAAAAGAAAAGTGTCATATGCAGATTAAGGTTTTTTTCTATCTTAAGAGCACATAATGATTTGCTGTTTTCCTTCTGTTTAGAGAAAAGATTTGAAGAGAAATAATGCTTCAAGTGAATTTATTTCGAAACTAAATCGCCAAAAACAACATTTTTGCATGTACAGGTATAGTGACTAAAATAAAATATATCGCAAAAAGCGCAAAATTTTTCCCCAGCATAAAAAAATACATTTTTCAAAACAGCCGTTGACTGTAATTTTATAAGATTTAGAGAGATGGCACATGATGAAACTCGCAGTTTTTGAGATGTACTCACGAACATTGCTTTTTATTTGTGCTAATATGTTTTGAATTGTGCGATTTTTTCTGCATCACGCGCTACTTAAAACCAAAAGTAGAACAAATTTCAAATTTTGAGTCTTGCCGCCTTATGTTCGATTCTTACAGAAATACGATCTCGATGCTTGTGGTGCTACGTATTTAGAAATTGTTGCCAAGACGAACTATTTCGTTAACAATAACATACGTGAAAAAAAAAAAACTAAATTCTGATTGGCTTAGAGCAGTTAAAACGTAATACAAAAAAGGTGTAGTTCAGTGCAGAAAAGTGTAATACAATGCATATTACAAACGGAATTCTCGCTTTTGATTGGAATAATAAACAATAGCCAGTAAGCCAAAAAGATGACAGATTTTTATGACGACAGATTTGAGGAAAATTTGAAGCAAATCGAGGGGGAAATTGGCAGTCATTTTATCTTAGGTGAAATTAAGCAAATATTTTACTGATTTTACTATCAAAAACAAAAAAACAAAAACCAGTTTAAAAAAGGAAAGCACAAGTAAAATTACATAGTTATTGCTGAATATGTGGAAGAAATAGTGAGAAGAAAACAAAGTATGACATGAATTGAGGGAAATGAGCTAAGCCGATCTAAAAAAAAAAAAAAAATTCTAGCGATTCATTGCCGAATTAAAGCAAAAACTAAAACCTCGACCTAAACATAGACCAAAAACAATTTAAGAAATTATTTTATGTAGTCAAAGATGGATGAAGAAGTGTTCTTCAAGAATTCAGGTGTGTGTTTTTTTAGCAAACAATCGTATATTTTTATTTTCTTTTTCTTTTTTTTGACAAGCATTTTTCTCGACGAATCGACAAATCAAAGACTTTCTCTCAAAACTTTTTATATTTCTATAGATAAGCTTGATTTTATTTTAATGCTGGAGAAAATACAACACGGAGAGCATATACGACAACAAAGTTTTACTCCTTTATTTAGCTTTGTAAATCTTTAACAATTCGGTTGTTTTTAACCAACGTACTATCGTATGTTTTTCATTCAAGAAAAAGTGCACCAGCTTTGTTTGCGTCCTATCGCGGGGTCCCATCGGCAAAACAAAGAAGACTTTCATTTAATAATGTTATATCTTTCCACACATAATTTATTTTAATCATTGAATGAAATATAA